CTCCGTTCTTGATAACGCAATCAACAACAAACTGAAAATAGAGATTAAAAGAGAGGTATTGTAAGAGAGCGACTTCTCCAACATTAATACAAACCTTAGAATACTACAAACATCAAATGGGTAATTTCCTATAGTATAGAATTTCTGTTAGATTTTGATTTTTTGAAACTTTACCTGTTCATTTGCCAGGGTTCCATATCCCCAAACCTTGTTCTTAACATTTCTCTGAAGCATCATTCCGCTCGCTTAAACGGGTTGTGTATGATATTTGAGAAGAGAATTAGAATGAAAGGATTTGTTTTGATATTTTGAAAAATGTAAGAGAGTACTCACCATAATAATTGTTAAACTTCAACGCTGAGATCCCAAAGGGAAGGAGACAACATAATAGCAGGAAGATATTCATCTAAATATCAATATCTATTTTATAATACAATCCTCGTCGTATATATCAATACAATAAAGATATATCAATACAATAAAGATATATCAATACAATAAAGACTACCAAGGTTTCAAGCAGCATTGATACATAAACAAGAAATAAAGAGATACTGCCATTTAGCAGCTTCCCTTTGGACACTTCTAAACCTGTAATTTGAAAAAAGCTGGTTAGAAATAAAAAACTAAATACAAAAGTCGTCTTCAGTGTATTAATATAATTTCAGACCACTGTAATTACGCAGTGCTAACCAGAAAACAGAAGGATGATGTTTTCTTTTTAGTTATATACTATTATAAAAAATGTAAGTTAAAACTAATTTGTTCTAATAGCGTAGTAATCAGTAATATTATCAGTGCAATTTTTTATCATTATTATCATTCTTGTAATAATTATTACAGTAAGAATTAGAAAACTCGGAAATATGAAGACGACATTAAAGCAATAATTAAGTTTAAGTGGCTTTGATTTTTGATACAAAGCAAAATTAAAAGTTTGACTAGAAATTGATGAGATCATTTATTGAGTTAAATGGGCCTCATGTTCATTAGACTATTTAAAGTCATAACTTGAGATTAAAAGTCATCTTTCTATTCCAGAGTTTTCTTGTTCTCACTGTAGCAGTATTACTTTGATTATTATTAGTATTATCATTATCAATAAATTACATCATTATCTTTTCATTAAAATCATTATCATCATCTATATAATAAAAAATGGACATTCTTATATATATTTGTTGTCTATAGCCGGCCAAACGGCTGGACCGACTGGCTGACATTTTTTGTGGACACTCAGGGGTGGCCGAGGAGTGTTATAGGCTATAAGAAATCGAAATTTTTTTTTCAGCACGTGTTTATTTTTATATGATCATTAAATATCATTATTATCTAAACAAAATGTTATTTATTAAAAAAGTAAGTACGAATAATTTTCTAATTATTGATGTTACCTTTCTTGATTATTATTGCACTCTGATTCTTTTATCTTTAGTCAACAATACAGATAAATAATATCTGAGGGGAACAGAAAAAATCTACTTTTTTTTGGAGTTTTTATGGAAGATGGTGCAACAAACTGTATTTTCTGGTTTGGACAATTTTTCTTTTTTTTGCCTTGATTAAAACAGTTTGATATTTTTACATCATGGCACACATAAACTAACCAGCTCAAGCTTGCAAAATAAACAAATAATATTAGAGGGAAGCATGAAAATATGAAAAGATTTATTTCTATTCTATTCTATTTTTTTTTAAATTTTAAACAAAATAGGTTTCTATATTTACATGTTTGAAATCATCCATTTCGGCACGCCACAATCTCTTCAACTTGCCTCATCCACTTTAACATGTCACATCCATTTCAGCATGCCACAATCTCTTCAGCATGCCTCATCCACTTTAACATGTCACATCCATTTCCGCATGCCACAATCTCTTCAGCATGCCTCATCCACTTTAACATGTCGCATCCATTTCCGCATGCCACAATCTCTTCAGCATGCCTCATCTACTTTAACATGTCACATTCATTTCAGAGTCCAGGAAGCAATAACATATTTACATCAATTCCTCATGCAGCATCTACCGACATATCCACACCCCCTTCAGCATGCCACATCCCTTTCTTTTAACATACCACATCCATTTGAGCATGCAACATCTCAACAGCATACAAATTCCTTTGAGCATAGCCACAGAGAAATTGAGTTTTTGTCTTTGCAACCTGATGGTGTAAACCTTGGACAATGGACATTTCAAACTTAGATTCTAACTGAATTCATAGTTTGAAATATCAAAGATCTATAAAATTTGGGTTGCAAAGATAAAGGGATTAAAAATCAGAGTTTCTGGCAAAGGCTCGATCTTCTTTACTTACTATAAATAGTTTGGTAGCAATAATAGCGGGTTGGGATTAGCGTTGATACAATAAAAGCTGAAGTGTCTTTATTCCTTCTTACAATGAACTTTTTTCGTTGAATAATGAAAAAGAATGGACGGATTTTTTTTTTTTGTGATTTTTTTCTTCCAGTGAAAACATTAAACCAAAACCAGGGCATTTTCTTTTAGCTCAAAAGCCAGTGTGTGTTAATTCTTCTATCAAATGATTAACAGGCTCAAAGCTTGAACTGCATTTTCCAAAATTGCGACCAGTTCCTTTAGAGAACATTTTCTGCAGCTTGTTCCTTTAACAAATTATTTATACTATAGATAGTCCTTAAATTTCTGTAAACATTAAACATTAAATTGTTCTAGCAGTCTTGTACACACTCACTACACGCACCACCGGTGTACATTTGAATACCCGAGCTTGGCCAACCTTTGTAGTCCTACTTTGTACTGTACCGCCAATTTACAATACTGAAGCGGCAGAGGAGTGTGTGTAAATTGCAGAAATTAATTAGCAATTATAACTATTCAATTAAATTTAAACATTTCATTATAATATCTTCCAAAAGGGGACTGTCATTGAAATTTCAAGCAAACCTCCTCCTGATCTGGGTTTCCCCTTACTAGTTGTATATGGTCTCACACGTCATGTGTATTATTTCAGGATATAGCAGTCAAACAGCTATGCTAGCTATATCCTTTTGATATTCTAAATAGAAGAAAATATTATTTGTAACAATAATGTACATTTACATATACATGTTTTTTTTATTTTCTGACAATTTTGTAAATTTAAAAGATATTTAGTAATAAAAGTTATATTTATTATTATTATTAAAACCTTTATCTAAAAAGAGGCTTGTACGATTTGCAGCTGTATCCTTTAAACCTAAATCTGATCAATAATATTGGTTGAATATATCTTCGTTTTTCTAGCTTATATAGATATTAATATATATATTAATAATATTGGTTGAATATATCTTTGTTTTTCTAGCTTCTATAGAGATCAATTCCAACAATTTCCTCCGTTGGTTCTGAAATTACAGTTAAAAATAATCAATTGTAAACGTTAAAAACATGGATATATCATCTTTGTCTAGTCTTTCTACCAGTTTGATAGATTAATAACTCTGCCTGTTTGTTTTGATCTTTCTAGCTGTTTGTGTTTGATCTTTCTAGCTGTTTGTTTTTGATCTTTCTAGCTGTTTGTTTTTGATCTTTCTAGCTGTTTGTTTTGATCTTTCTAGCTGTTTGTTTTTGATCTTTCTAGCTGTTTGAAATTGATCTTTCAATCTGTTTGTAATTGATTTTTCTATCTGTTTGTGTTTGATTTTTCCATCTTTTGATATTGATCTTTCTAACTGTTTGCTATTGATCTAGTTATTTGTTTTGAACTTTCTATCTGTTTTTATTGATCTTTCTGTAAATCTGTCATATTCGTTCCAATTAATAGAAATTAAAAAAAAAATTCTGTTTTAATATTGGGATATTTTCAAAATGAAGAAAGAAAAATTTAAAACAAAACAATTTGGCCACACTGGATCAGCTGTTTTTACGCTTTTTTGGTCCAAACCATCATACATACCAAATTTTAAATTATAGATTATTTAATCAAACGCTGATGTGAAAATAAAATAACTTTATGACCATTGCCCTCTCTTATTACAAAATACAGTTATACCCTTTAAATAGTTAATTGTAAAATATTTTTAAAAATAAAAAACTAAATATTTGATTATTAATCTAAATATTTTTAAAAAACAACGGCTGATTTTCTTTTTAAATTATGAAACTTTGTCAGTGCTTTTACTATTTTACTTTAAAAAAGTAACTAATCGTCATTTTTAACCCTTAAATTGCAAGTTTTCGAGAAAAGAAATGTTTGAGCATGTTTTTTAAAGAAACTTTCGAGTAAAATTCTTTTAAGGTAAAAAACTATGATAATAATTATTTTCCTCTTCTACATTAAAAAATCTACATTTCACAACTTTTTAAAAAGCGTAAAAAGAAGTTAATGGGTTGCAAGGTTGTGTTTAATTATTCCTCACAAAATAATTAACTTATGTAAATTGTAAAAATAAAATTAAGTTTAATGCCATAATTCCATAATTTAGTTTCAAATTCTTTAAGATTATTATAAATACGTATCATACTCATATTACTAATCTAGCAACTAATTAAAGTAAAAACTTTATAAAAAAAAGAAAAAATGATTTATAAAAAATTTCATGTTATTTTGCATACGAAAGCTACAGCTATCAATTACAAAAGTTCCTTCACAAATTTTAGAAATTATCATTTTATAATTAAGAACTTTTTTTTAAAAGTTTAATTTTAACGATTTGAAATAATTTGTTCATAATAACAGTTAATTCGGATAACTACAATACAACAGGTTAAAACTTTAACTTTTGTTTTGATAGTTTAGTAATTATGATAATTATATAAAAATAATAATATTTATATAGTTTTTTATTTGTTTTATTATCCAGCTTAACGTAATTGAAGAAACTGATGGCTTAACCTTTTTATGTTTAAAACTTTTTGAACTAGCAGAATTCATTAAATATCAAAGGTTTATGCGATCAGGTTACAAAAATTTAAAACTTAGAAAATTATATCAATACAACGAAGACGCCAATTCAATTGAGTTTTGATTTTTTACTTTTTCCATATTAAAAGTTGACAAGAAAATAAAGCTGGTAATTGACAGCTTCTATTTCCTTCCAAGTTATATATGTATTCATCCAGTTTGAAAACTTTCCAGAAATGAAGAATCGAAATCGAAAGTCGTCTTCATTGTATTGATGTATGCGACGATGACGACTGTATTTTCATCAATTAATGAGTTCCTTTTCCTCTATTTAAAAGTTATTTTCACAATCTTTAAAAAGATTTATTTATGTATACTTCAGAATGATGTTGAAGAGTATACTGGTTTTGTTGGTTTGCAGTACACTTCTAGTTTGTTTATGTTTACTTTAGAATTATGTTGATAAGAATACTGGTTTTTTTGGTTTGCAGTACACTTCTAGTTTGTTTATGTTAACTCTAGAATTATGTTGAAGAGAATACTGGTTTTGTTGGCTTGCAGTACACTTCTAGTTTGTTTATGTTTACTTTAGAATGATGTTGAAGAGTATACTGGTTTTGTTGGTTTGCAGTACACTTATAGTTTGTTTATGTTTAGTTTAGAATTATGTTGAAGAGTATACTGGTTTTGTTGGTTTGCAGTACACTTCCAGTTTTTTTTATGTTTACTTTAGAATAATGTTGAAGAGAATACTGGTTTTGTTGGTTTGTAGTACACTTCTAGTTTGTTTATGTTTACTTTAGAATTATGTTGATAAGAATACTGGTTTTGTTGGCTTGCAGTTTACTTCTAGTTTGTTTATGTATACTTTAGAATGATGTTGAAGGGTATACTGGTTTTTTTGGTTTGCAGTACACTTCTAGTTTGTTTATGTTTACTCTAGAATTATGTTGAAGAGAATACTGGTTTTGTTGGCTTGCAGTACACTTCTAGTTTGTTTATGTTTACTCTAGAATTATGTTGAAGAGTATACTGGTTTTGCTGGTTTGCAGTACACTTCTAGTTTGTTTATGTTTACTCTAAAATTATGTTGAAGAGAATACTGGTTTTGTTGGCTTGCAGTACACTTCTAGTTTGTTTGTGTTTACTTTAGAATGATATTGAAGAGTATACTGGTTTTGTTGGTTTGCTGTACACTTCTAGTTTGTTTATGTTTACTTTAGAATGATGTTGAAGAATATACTGGTTTTGTTGGCTTGCAGTACACTTCTAATTTCTGTTTACTCTAAATCATATCTAATAGAAACAAAGGTACAGTTTAATGTTCAGGGTTACCCACAAAAAATGGCACGGTAAAGACGACCCGAAAGTCTTTAAAATTTGATGATTTCAAAATTAAATTAGGTTTTCTGCCTTTGAATTAGGAAAAGAAAGAAACAAGTTTAAGTCGAAGGGAGTCATAAATATAAGGAAACAGACAGTATAGCATTTGGTACAGTCGTCTCTGAAGTCTCATCCTTTGTGGATAACCCTGTATATATATGATATATATAAGAGTGTGTTTTTCTATTTTTTATAAAGAATATTCGTTATAAAATAATATGCAAAAAATTGTCGTGTTCTATAGTGTTCTATAGTGTTCTATAGCTGGAAAACTATTGAATTCAGACGATTTCCTCAAATTCTTCTGATGTAGACTTGCCACAAGACACATTCTAGAATTGATAATAATCATTTTTCAAACAGAAGATTATGGATTAAAGGGAACCGTTGTGAATTGAACATGTCACTCTATCAACGGAAAGTTAATGTTTAGGATGAGGTTGTCCCAGGAGCTCCAGTAAAGAAGTATGGAGCCGATTATGCTGATGATGATTATGGATATGATGAATCCATTGCCTATGATGATTCCCTTCCATACGATGATGATGTTCTTGGTGAATATCATTTTAATAAAAACAATGGAACTGATTTTTTGCCACAAACTCAAATTCTGTAATCCTTATATCTTTTTACACTGTTGTTTCATTTTTCCAGTAGCGTCTAACCCAATCAGGGTTCAGTCACGTGTAATTGGTGATGATTTATCTGTCAATCAATCTGTTTGATTGTCCAATTATAGACGAATCCTGAAATCAGTGCTCAGCAGTAAATTACTTCCGTTGTAAACCTTTGATGTTTCAAACTTACTTGTCAGTCTAGCAGAATTTATAATTTTAGATATCTTATGATATCTGATAAGATATTGGGATTACAAAATTTCTAAACTTTCTGAAGTACTGCTCAAACCAAACAGAGGGTTCATATGTATATATACAATTTGGCAAATTATAACTAAAAGATAGTTTATACGAAGTTACAAGTTTCCCTCCAGTTATTGAGTTGTAATGGCATGTCCAATACACAACGGTACCGTTTAAACAGTAATCTGATCAAGGATAAAGGAGTAATCCTGTTTTTTTACCTTAATCTGATCAAGGATAAAGGGACAATCCTGTTTTTTACCTTAATCTGATCAAGGATAAAGGAGTAATCCTGTTTAAACCTTAATCTGGACAAGGATAAAGGAGTAATCCTGTTTAAACCTTAATCTGATCAAGGATAAAAGAGTAATCCTGTTTTTTTACCTTAATCTGATCATGGATAAAGGGGCAATCCTGTTTTTTACCTTAATTTGATCAAGGATAAAGGGACAATCCTGTTTTTTACCTTAATCTGATCAAGGATAAAGGAGTAATCCTGATTTTAACTTAATCTGATCAAGGATAAAGGAGTAATCCTTTGTTTACCTTAATCTGATCAAGGATAAAGGAGTAATCCTGTTTAAACCTTAATCTGATCAAGAATAAAAGAGTAATCCTGTTTTTACTTTAATCTGATCAAGGATAAAGGAGTAACCCTGTTTTTTACCTTAATTTGATCAAGGATATTTTTAGCAACCATGATGTTTGCAATGAAAACAGTTTTATCATGTTCCTTCCATATCATCATTTAGAGTTTGTTGAAAGAAACGATACATGTTCGCCAAAAAAAACTGAATATTTATAAGTAATAAGACAAACGTTTTTATAAAGGGTATAGTTGGGATTCAGACATGCCCCTACATCAATAGAGAATCAATTAAAATTACTTATAATGCCCTTCAAAAAAGCATTTGAATGAACCACATTTAAGAAAATCACATTTTAAATAATGTACATTAAAAATCAGTTTTAAAAAATCCCTTAAAAATATTCCTGTTTATATACCCCTCTTTCAAAATTCATTAACACTCTCTTTAATTCAGAAGGTGAAAATGAAGTGTCTGAGTTACAGTAGTATCTTGAAGATTGCTTTGAATAAAACATAAATTTTGAATCAATAAAAAATCTATTCCTGGAACAAGACATAAAATTAATTTGATGTGTATTTGATGATGTTAATAAGTTTTACTTCAAATCAATTTGTTAACTAAAATGTGTCTGTGTACATTACACAATTATTGTGTTTCATTTTTATTTTGTTGATCTTTTAAAAACATATAAAAGGAAATGAGTGATTGACACCAACTCTAACTTTTCAATCCTTATATCTTTGCAACCAGATGTCGCAGACCTTTAATATTTCAAACTTTGAATTCTGTCGGATCAAAAAGTCTAAAAAGAATTTGAGTCTTCGCCACAAACTCAAATCTTCCAATCCCTATATCTTTGCTGCCTGTCGATGGTATAAATCTTTGATATTTCAAACTTTGATTTCTGTCGGATCAAGAAGTCTAAATTTTACATATAAAAGGTTTAAACCATTAGGTTGCAAAGATATAGAGATTGGAGTATTTGAATTTGTGGCAAAAACTCAGATTCCTTGTCAAAATAATGATATGCATATAATCTTGTGTATTTTAAACAATTTTGTCAAGGCTATCGACTATCGAGGAAGGAAAATGTAATTGTGTGCAGAAAAAAAAAACATATTAAAGAGCAGTTTATGAATATACTAGGCTTTTAGAGCGCTTCGTGCCCATCTTCTATTCAAATTGTGAACTTTGTGTTCTTGTTTTAAAACATTTTAAAACAAAACAAAACAATTCGCGGATTTTGTATAAAAATTAGTGGATTTTCAAAAAAAAAATTTAATTTACAAAAATAAAAAACTTTTTAACATAAATTTTTTAAATTTTGAATTTTGATCATTCATAAACCTTTCCTGGGGTCACATTATGTCCTTCAAAAAATTTGGACCCGATCGGTTCAGCCGTTTTGACAAACAAACAAACAGACAAGCCAAATTTATATATAGATGTAGAACGTAAACACCTAGTACTCACATATACGTATATACGATACGAACATTGTACATGCATAGAGAGAGGGTATATATAATTGTTTGGTTCGTTTAAAACATATTTTAATATTGTTCCATCGTTTTGACAAATCTCGTTGGTTAATATTTTTTGTCAGAGAACAAAGCTCTGCAATGTATTAACACTGAACTATGAAAGAGAAGATTAAATTTATACCATATTACTAGTACGACTTTCAAACTATAGTTTGATTTTATGAACAAGGAACTTATCCGTTTACATATAAGAAATTCAAAACATTTTTGAAATTCACAAAAGAATTCATAAAAACAAAGAAGATTTCAATATTACGTGCAATTTACTCTAGTTTGACGTGATAAAGCAAAATTGTAAATATGTCGTAACCACACATATATACCTGGAAGCATATATCAATGTTTTTATGTAACAAGTACATACGCAAGGTTAATTGTGTGTCACCGGAAGTTGAAGAACGGAATTGAATTGCGTTTAGGCCTTGATTTATTATAAAGTACTAGGGTTTTTAATTGTTTCATAATACTACTTTCCTCCATAGTTTTTAATATGTTTATCATGATGTAATTAATTTAAGCAAAATAGGCTTAGTTTTCAGGTAGCCTGCATTGTTATCACATAATGTAATTATTATTTTTTTATTAATGAATGGATAGGATGGATAGGATGGATATGATGGATAGGATGGATAGGATGGATAGGATGGATAAATATTATTGTTCTAGGATGAGAGTTTTGTTACTTCTCCTGTTTTTCTCTCTGTTCCTTGGCGGCTTAAAGGGACAATCTTCAGAATCTACAACAACAGAACAAACATCTACAGGATCTACAGGATCTACGGGATCAGGTCCTTGTCCTTGAAAAATGTGTTCCCAAATCTAACTACAGTGGTAGGAGATTATATCAATACAATGAAGACGACTTTAGATTTAAATTTTGATTTAGATCAAGTTGTTTAACAGCATGGATACAGCTAAACATATTAAGTCAAGAGAAACTGTCAATTTAAAAAGCTTCTCTTTGATTACTTGCAAACTTGTAATCCGAAAAAAGCTTGTTATAACAATCAAAACTTTAATAAAAAAGTCGTCTTCATTGTATTGATATAATCGCTTAGCACTGTACATAAATTAGAAATATTGAAATCACGTAATAAATTGGTTTATAAATAGGTTATAGAAATTGATATCTAAAACGATTGTCAACGTTATTTAAAGTAACCCCCCCCCCCCCTGGGCTAATCAGGGAGAAATGTGTTCGGTGTCTTTTATTTGAATTCAATCACGTTTGGTCTACAATTCAACCATTTTTAATTTCGAGTTGTATCTTTTTTTTATTTGGACGCAGGTTTAAAAGGTGATGAAATCAATCCTTGCAGAGTAACTTTAAATAAAGAAATAAATTCTAGAAATGTTTCTTATCAAACATATTTTTAATTAACATATTTTCATTTAACATATTTTTATTTAACATATTTTTATTAAACATATTTTTAGATTCCACAATAATTCCAACAGAAACGAATACAATTCCACCAGAGAGGAATAAAAACATTACTATTTCAATATTAAATTTGATATTATTTATTTGCACATGCAATCTTAATAACAGCATCATATGTTAACATGGCCTCATGGGTTAAGGCTGTATTGAAAAAAAGGTACTTTTTAAAAAATTTAAGATTAACTATTTATCAAAGCTTTAAAAAAGTCTGTTCGTATTTTGCAATCGAAGTACTTTGGACGTCGTCGTTGTTTTCTAAATTTTTTTTATGAAATCCTGAATATATTCAATATTCTTTATTTTGTAAAACTATGTTTTAATAACCCAATCATGTAGTGAGGGTACACCAGACCCACCAAGTTCTTCGTCAGCACCAGCTTCATCAACCACAACAACAACAACTACTACAACTACAACTACAACAACAACAACAACAATCACAACAGCCACAACATCGTTGTCAACAACAACTACGCGTAGAACTACAACAACAGGTTACATCCATCAGAAATATTATAGTTTCTTATGAAAAACCAGATTGTAAAATGACATCATAGGTTGAACAGAAAGAAAAGCTATCTTATATGCATTTCTCAGCCTAATTCTGTACTGTATCGAGGGAGGGGGGGCCATGCGGCAATATCCTCCCCTCCCTCCTGTATCCGGCAATACTTGATGTCCAATTGGAATGATTGACAAAAAGTTTTAACAGTTTTTTCCCGTAATGCAAAATCATTGAAGACCACATAGTGAGTATATTCATTACCACAGTAAATGGATTAATATTTTTAGGGCAATTTTTACAAAATCTCCAAAACTACCACATATCCTACACTCAAAATTTTGAAATTAAAAATCACTTATTTTAAAAAACCATCTCTAATATCAAAAAACAAAAAAGCTTAATTGGCAGTCATCCAACTTTGCTGCCAAAAACAGCAATTTTTGTTGCTTATTTGGCAGCTATCCAACTTTGCTGCTAAAAACAGCAATTTTTGTTGCTTATTTGGCAGCCGTCCAACTTTTACTGCCAAACTTTTATTTCGAAATTTTGAGTGAATACGCTTTTTAATTCATCCAAAATAATTTTTTGAGAAGATGCTTGATGAACATAATAATATTTGATAATATTTGAATAGGTCTGAGCCCCCAACAATGCTGTTCTCTGGCACAATTAGGAATTTAGAATTTTTAAACGATTACAAATGCTAACGCTTAAAGGGACTGTATGCGAACATGGCAATACCCTCTTCACAACAGTCCCCCTGAAACCTTTAACAGATCAAATATGTGAATTATCATTTTTTAGGTTTAAAGGTGTGATTCTGATAATTATTATATTTTCCCCCTCGGTAGAAATGCGCAAGTCACTTATGTTATTATTCTTATTCTTATTAAAAATAGATAGTTTTGAAATCCTAAATATTAATATCTAATTCATCTTTGATCAGACAAAGCTTTGAAGTGTACCGTTGTGAATTGGAAATTAAGGAGGGTCTATTAACATCACGCTAACATTACTTGTAAACTATTGGTTCAATGTTCAAAGATCTAGACTGCAGAATATAATAGTGGCTTAAGATGAAAACTTTAAATTTTTATCAAAACATGTTTTTTCTTATCTCCATAAAAGATTCAAACATAAATATTAGGAGAGATTATCAAAATCTTGATAGAGCTGCTAAAGTTAGGTAATATTAAATTGACTGTATACAACTAAACATATTTTTAAAGATGTAATTAAACAATTTTATTCCCTTCCCTTGAATGTACAACCATGAATGAGCATTAGGAAACTTGCTTCAAATTTAAACTCAAATCTCATAATAATTGGCTATGCCATCTGACTATACAAAGGCCTGATGATGTTCAGAAAAATCGAAATATATTTCCCGCAATGAACTTCTTGCATTATTAAAGAAGGTAGAGATCACTTTTCAACAAAATTCGTGTTTTTCATGTGAATGTAATTTCATGATAAATTTCGAAAATTGATGGTTACCATAACATGAGTATTGTTTAAGAGGGTGTCATACCTACCACTTCAACTACAACAACAACAACAACAACCTCAAAACCGGTAAAAATTAGAAATCATGTTACAAAGTTATATTTTAAATTAGTTTTATTTAGTACCCAATAGTACCAGCAGGACCTTTAGAAGGTAAACCTGAAACTTCAAGTAACAGTTCTGGAACTGATAGCAATGATTTACAGCCATCAAGCAATGGCGTTCCACCCCTCTCGGCTAACAATCTTCAAGCATTATTGGGGAACGGTGTGCCTTCAATGGGGAACAACATTCAACAGTTAAACGGTGGGTCACCAGGGAACAGTGTTCCTCAATCCGTGATCAACTTCCTTCAGACCTACACTGCAAAGGACCAGACCTTCCAAGTGTATGCTGTAAACTCTGACAAGAAACCGGTTTTTCAAACAGCTGATAAAGGCGGTCCACCTATTGTGCCCAACATCGGGGGATCCAGGTAAATACAGTCGTCGTCGTATATATCAATACAATGAACACGACTTTCTATTTCAATTTTAATTTCTACTAATCTTTCAAACAGAAAAGACACATAACATGTAAACAAAGAAAAGTTGTCATTTAACAGCTTCTTTTTTGTTTACTTGAAATTTAACAAGTGCCTGTTAGGGATCAAAGCATTATTAATAAAAAATTGTCTTCATTTTATTGATATAATCGTAGACTAAGCTGTATCTAAATTGAATTCATAGTTTTTAAAATCTTGCACTAGGGTTAAAATTGCAATAAAAGAATATATTTCAGAAATGGTGGCTGAAAACAATTAAAACAAAAATCATTTTGAGCCTTCAACTTGTTAAATATTCTAAAACAAGATCAATTTCTGAATTTTTTTTTACAAAATACTAATGTAAAAATAGGTTTTCAGCGTATGACATAAAAAATAGGTTTCAATAATATCAAAAGAAAAAAAAGATTTATGGGACAATTCCTTTCTTATCTATTTTCAGACCAGGCCGAACTAAGCGGGAAAAACTGAACAATCAATCAATTTCAGGAATTTTTATTTTTTCTCTTGATTTTTCGCGAAAAAAAATAGATGTACGTCGTCTTATTATTTTCTTCCGCCATGACGTGCAATACACAATGCATGGTTATGTTCTTCCTGATGTTTTAGGTAAAAAATAGAATAAACAGAAATGTGAAAATATGCAAATGTTCGAAAAAATTTATTTTCGGAGAAGCTGAATGGTGTATTATAGAAATCACACCAAAAATTTCTCTCGATTTTTTTTATTCATATATAAAAAACTAGCATGGGAACCCAGCGTGGCCCAGGGCTAGTTAGTCCCGCCGTTTACTCGCCAGTTGTCGAAAATTTCGATTTTGGCGATCTTTTTCCTTCTAAAAGTGGACCCATTCAACTTAGAATCTCAAAACCAAACTAATGCATTCCCGTGGGTCTCCCGAGTTCCCCAATCAAAATTTCAGACAAATCCGTCAAGGGGTTTCTAGGTTATGATCGGACAAACAAACAAATAGACAAACAGAAATTACAACTTTACAAATATAAATAACCTTTATCTTTAAGATTTGAATTCTCAAGAATTGTACATTTCAGTGCACACAAAACATTGTATATAACTGCACACTATATATAGGATAATTAAGTTACAAATAATTAAAGACGACTTACACTTTCCATTCTTTTCAAACTGTTTTTATAAAAGAAAATAAGAATAATTTTGTAAAGAAAACCAAAGAAGAAATCTGTCAATACAAGTCTTAGAACAATTCAAAAATTCAGGTTTACTTTTAAAGGTGAGCATTATATTGGCAGAATATAGATTCTTAAATTTACAAAAACAAATATTGATGATTCTTAAACTTATTAATAAATAATACTAATTCTATTTAGAATAGGGAAGGAAAACCAGGTGTTCAAGTGATACAAAAAAGAAATGGAAAATATAGGTATGAAAATTTATAAACATTTTAAATCTTGATAAAGCATTAAAACTAATCAACTGAATATAAATAAATTAGTATTTTAAATAGAAACAAACAATTAAATAGATTCTAGTACAATAGATTGCAACGTAGAATTTATACACTCTCAGTACAGCTGTATTCTTACGTCACAAGTGTCAACTCAGTTTGTCCGACAAAATTATTAAAAATAGTGATAATTTTAGAATAAAATGCTTATTTTACAGTAAAATAAGTGCAATTTTATCTGTTCTTTATTTTCTGTTTATACGCTTTTTTATTTAAGCTTGGAATACATGTCAACTAATGTGAGAAAGTTTCGTTTTCCTTGTTATATTTGACACTTGTGACGTCGTGTATAATTGGTCCGTTTCTTTGTTGCCACCTATTCTACTTGATAATCTATTTGCAAACAACTAAATAATAATTACTCTTCGACTTTCATATCCTTCAATCTATGCAAGTTAGAAGTGTTCAGTACAAAAGTTTACTTTTTTGATCTAATTGTAATTAATTCATAGTTTTAAATTTCAAAGTACCACACTATTAGGTTACAAAGATGAAGTGAAAAGGAAATAAGAGTTTGAATCAAATAACCAGTTCCTTAATTTCCGGAGCTTGGCATTTGATTACAGAAATGTGCAGGGTGTCCCAATAAACATGGGAATTCAGTGACGAATTCAATATCGATTTTGTTATGAATTAGCATTTTAATACCTAATTTCAAAAGCCATAATATTATTCTGTCTGCTAGAGTTTATTTTATGAAAAAAATGGTAAATGGCTGTAAAGATGTGTTTATAATGTCTCCGTAAGACGGACAAGCTTACTTTGCTTGTATAGTGTAAATTTCTTGTTTTACTAAGTACAACCGTATGCAGTCAAAACATAAACAAACAAATTGTAAACATAGCAGACGAAAATCTAATGGATTACAGCTTTCTCAGTAAAGGTATCATCTATACTAAATCAAAGAAGTATTTTAAAAAAACGATATCGAATTCGTCACTGAATTGTTTATTGGGACACTTTGTATGTTACTTGTCTTCTGGTAATAATGCTGGCTTTTAATTGCACCATGTTTGTTCTCGTAAATATAACATAAAACTAAACATTTCGGTGATTTTTTTATTGATGGACTTTTAAAAATTTCAAAATAAAATTTTATGGATTTTAAAAAGGTTTGGACTGACTGATAAACGTTGGTGTAATGTGACTGTGAATATTTGGGCCCGATCGGTTCAGTTTGGATGTTTATTTGATATATGAAATATATATAAAAAAAGAAAACTTTTGAATGCCTCTAAAAAGCGCCTTTTATATTTTAAATGTATATTTTATTTTATTAGCTAGGAAAACCCAGCTTTGCTTGGAAGCTTTCACGATAAAAGTCAACCTAATCAATTTAGACCTATTAAACCAAGCTAAGAATAATCCCATGGTTTTAACGAGCTAACCAACCAAATTTTTAGGCAAATAGGTCAAGACTCCAGTGGTTATTTCATTAAATATTAATGAAGCAAAAATGTATGTTTTAAACTACCTTCCTTTACATGACATCTAATTTACATATGATTAAAATTTAAGGTTTAAGATAAAAGGCCGGAAAGTTGATCTGAGTCCAAAATTTTTAACTAAAATGTTAGAGGATTACAGAACCAGGTGATGATTTTTAAATAATTTAAGAAAATAGTTTCTTCAATTCATGAAAATAAATTGGTCGTTAACAAATACATTTCGTTAAAGATATTAGACGACCATTACCAACGACCTTTTGTTAAAGTTCGTTAACGACCGTTAGTGAGTAAACTGTTTTTTAAAACCTCAAAAGATTTCCTATTCCAATATTTTCAGTATTCTACATCAATTGCATTAATGATCAGATTTGTAATAAAATATTCCTGGCGGGAATAAGTTTAAATTATAAGTCAAAATCATATCGTCGTTTCGTTTTTCGTTTTCGTTTATCATTTCTCAAAAGTTCAAAACAATTGGCTCGTTCGTTTTGTCTAATGATTACTGACCCACCCTGTATTTTTGTCTAATGATTACTGACCCACCCTGTATTTTTGTCTAATGATTACTGACCCACCCTGTATTTTTGCTTAATGATTACTAACCCACCCTGTATTTTTGTCTAATGATTACTGACCCACCCTGTATTTTTGCCTAATGATTACTGACCCACCCTGTATTTTTTTCTAATGATTACTGACCCACCCTGTATTTTACAGTCAATTGTCGAGGAAGAGAAATGAGTTTAAGAAGATCTATCGCTGCAGGATCTTTGGAACATGCTCACGGGAATTTGAAAAGAAAAAGTCAAAGGAACAAAAAAATAAGAAGAAAAACAAAAACAGAAATAAGAACAAAAAGAACAAGGGAAGGAAAATGATTGAAAATAAAAACAGAAAAAATCTTGAAACCAACAAAATTAATGAAAAATTGACACAGGAATTATTCACATCTTCAATGCTGAAACGAGGTGGGATCTGAAGTTGTATATTACAATCTATTGTACAAAATAATTTCTTAATTCTTAATTACAACAAACTTATCTTATTCTATAATAATAAATATTGAATATACAGGGTTATCCACAAAGAATGAGACTGTAAAGACAAGCTGAAACTCTTTGTATATGACGTTTCCAATTGGTTGAATTAAGTATTCTGCAAAGAATGTAGTCTGTAGAGGTCAAAATCATTTTTGAAACTAGGCATTAAAATATGATTCAAATGTCTATTTTTCTCTCAGAAGGGGGAGGGGGGGGGGGCTCAGCACCCAATGAGGTCCGAAACTTCCCTAAAAACCATATATTTCACTGACCCATTGAGGAGGGCTCAGCCCCATGCAGAGGCCTGAATCCAACTTTAATTTCCATTTGTCTGCGTATATTGTTACTTTTAACTCTAATAGTTTTAAAAAATCATTAAATTATGTTCCCAAAATATTATCGAGATGCGTTTAGATCTATTTTAAAATAAAAATAAAAATTGAGAAATCATTTATTGCAAACAATTTTGATCAAGTTGAAGAAAAATCAAGGGCGGTTTCAGGGGGGGGAGCAATCCATTACCCCCCCCCTGTGTGAAATTAGGGGGGGGGGTGTACCCCCTTCCTCTCATTGAACAGGTTATCTATTACAACCGACAGGTTGGTCAACCCATGGGAAGAATGACGATGCACCCTAAGAGGCTTGCCTCAATTTCGGACATCAATGTTTTAAATGCCCATTATTTCAAGCGGCCCAAGAAAACTAAATTATTGTAGATGGAATAAAGGAGGATAATTTTTATTTTATTTTTGAAAAAAAATTCCTTTTTTACTTTCAGCCTTCTTTTGGTTATTTTTAATTCTAAAAATAAACATAGAAACTACAATTGCAGTCTCCTGCAAGAAAAATTAGCATGAAAGAAGCATGAAAGAAGAAAATTAGCATGATTTAAGAGTAATAGCAGGAACTAAGAAATATAATTCTCCCTTCATTAGAATAATATGATATCATATGTATAATGTTTATGTATAAAGTTCAATCAATAATATTTTCTATATCGTTTTTAGATAAATAAATGGATTATTAAGCCATTTGCCTACCCTATACTATAAAGAAATGTGTAGTTCTTTCTCTTTTTCCACTTTTTTCCTTTCGTTTTTAACTTTTCGTTTCCTGTTTTTAAATTTTTCCTTGTCTTCTGTTCTTGGGAAAAGAGGGTACGTACACCCCCCCCCCCCCCCCTCCATGGGCATTAAATCATATTATTTTCCAAGTAAGATTAACGTTTACAAGCTAAAGAAGACGACATTCAAACTTGCATGACATTCAAAATCCTGTATTTTGCAGACAAAAATCAGATGTTTTATGTCAAACTTTAATATAACTCCGCTCTTTTTCCCTTATATTTATATGATAATTCAAAATATTATTAGTGTCTAAATTTTAGAAAATTTTAGAACATATCAATTTATATTTATTTTTCGTTATATTGAATCCAGGCATCCGCGCTATAACCATATAATTTACTTGTTTGAAGCGGAACTATTTTCTGTGAAGCTGTTTGGCGCGTTAAATAAAAAATATTCATCTCATTCTTAAGTTTGATCAGTCTTCAATCTCGCCTTGGACTCTATTGGCCGACAATTTACAATTAAATTTCACAATTGTTTTTATAAATTTTATTTAAATTTACAGTGATTGTTTTTAGTTTAAAATTTTTTATCAAAACTGACCTTTGTTTTTAAAGAAGCTTTTACATTCGACTATATAAGGTAAGAGTTTCAAATGTTTTAACAAATAAGCTTTTTGGATTTGGCATGAATGCTAGTCATATCGTATTTGTAATGTTTTGGTCTATATTTTACTGAAACTTTAGTTTAAAAATAGTTAAATGTTTTTGTAAAATGTAAACATTTCTCTCTTTCAACATTTTTTCAAAACCTGAATTTATTTTTTTTAAATTTTGATCTAAAAAATTTTATATAAATCTTTTTTTACTTCTCTGAAAGTGAAACAAACAGGCGCGTAGTGGAGGGGGGCGGTACCCTTGTGCCCCCTCCGTAGACATGCACCCCCCTGGAGCCAGAGGCAGGCTCTAATTTATTAAACAGAGAACTTGCATATGCAGTATTCAGATTTTTTACTTTTCTTATCACAATTTGTCCATTTTATGATTATTTCTCAAATTCTTTCTTGATTAATCAATTATTTACAACATTTTTGTCGCGGGGTTTTATTTTAAATGATTGGTAATTATGGTCAGATGACTAATAGTCAACATTCAGGTAGATTATTATAGATTTAATACCAGTTTTTAGGGGGGTGCACAAAATTTGTTTGTTTTTTCACCCCCCTAGGCTAAACCTCCACTACGCGCCTGGAAACGAAGTGCTTCATTTGAATAGATTTGCTGTACAAGCTCTTGCTCGCTAGGCTATTAGCGTCGAACAAAGTTTTTGGTTTATTAAATGGGGGTATTTATAATACGTATAAAAGAATAGAATGAAAGAACAAAAAGAAAGAAGAAAGAAAACTAAGGAAAAAAATGAAAGAAACCTTAGTTCTTTTAACAATGCCCCCTACATTATTCGTAGTTTCAATTGAATTCTTTTAAACATGATTAGTTTAAATGCGACATACTTAAATTATAACCCTCTAAAACATGTATTTATGGTTCCAGTTCAATGAGATAGTCAGGATGGTAACCTCTTTTGTGGTAATCCGAAATATGTCGCGTTCGTTTAAAATAATTTTTATTTACAAAATCTCGCAACCTCGTTCCAAATTTATTGTTGAAGAAACCCCGGTTGAAATTATATCCAAGAAAAAGACATCGTCATGCCGAATTCTCATAAAGAATTCACTAGTGGGTCATTTTAATAACATTTTAGATAGGGACGATTTAAGCTCCTAAAATTTATTTATTCGTCGTTTTTTCTGCAATATTTCAATTTATAAGAATTCAATGAGACTTAGTTGCTTGATCAAGTTCTGGATCCCACCCAGGTACTGCACGATTCTTATACAGTCATCAGGGGAGAACCTGCTAAAGGAGGGGTGTAAATTATATGTGCATCTCCCGTTTTTTAGTATTAAGGGGGGGGGGGGGGATTATGAAATTTTTTTATTAAAAAACCAGTTAATNTAATCAAAATTTAAGGCAAAGTAGTCAAGTAATTTCCGAGTTATGATCGGACATTCAAACAAACAAACAGACAGACAAACAGAAATTACTTCATTAAATTTTTGTAACTAGCTTGGGAACCCGGCTTTGCCTGGCAAATCGGCAACTCAGTCCAGGGGTTCTCGAGTTATGATCATGCATACAAATAGAGACAAACATACAGAGATTACTACTTAACATATATATAGCTCACTCCCCTTCATTTACATAAATGTTTTTGTTTAAATCATGTTTGTTACCGGATCCATCCTTTAACTTCTCTATCATGCTTTGTTTATGTTTCTTTGTGTTTCATATTTTGAATTTAAATCTCGCGGATTTTTGGCGGAAACTCACCGGCTGCTGGTGGGGGTAGGGAGGAAAAGCAACGCATTCGCTCATCCTTTTAAATTTAAAATAGCGTACACTCAGAAGACTCACCCTTAAACAACCCCGGCAGGTGCCAGGGCGGTCCGGTACAAAACCAACCCCCGCCGTACAGCATCCCCCCCTTAGCTTTTGGGGTCGACGTATTTTTTGACAGTTCGCCTGTTTACGTCAGAAGTTAAACATTAGACAGGATACATATACGGTGCAATAACCCCGTTAGCGTGCAATGACATCTAAAAAATAAAATTGCAATAAAAAATTTTACAGAAATTTTAAAATTGCAAAAATTTAAGTTGAGTTAGAACATTATAAACATTAGAATAACATTAAATCTTCAAATTAAGCTGCATAGAATTCATTACAAATTGTGACGTCAAAAAATTCCACAACCTATATAGTACCACTGTGCATATGGATAAGGTAGGAGACTAAATATTAAATATTATATATCTAATTTTATTCGAATAACAATTTACAGTTTAAGTGTACACTGTATTATGTACAATAAACAGCGTACAGTGTACATTTGACCAATGTATAATAAAGTATATACTAATACTGTAATTATGAAGAGTGTATAACGTGTAATTGTACATGAATTGTAGTACACGTATATGTACAATAATGTACATGGCACACTGTACGCTGTGCACACTGCCCAACCATAAAAACTTTCTATTTTTGTAGTGCTAAGGTTGAAATTGATTCATCCTGCTCTTTAAAGAGGTTCCGCCCGTAGAACAATAAACCCAGAGCACTATATTGAAAATAAACACTGAGACACAAGTAGTTGCTGATATTCTATAAACGAAAAGTTTTTATTTCTCTACCTTGATAGTTTGTATTAATATTTTCATTTCTATAAGTTTGACTCAAGGGTTCTCTTGGTTTGACTTGTATTTTATGAATAAATGATATATTAATTTTGCTTTTGAAACTAATTATACATGGTTAAATAAGTTGGAAAGTAGAAGGGGAGGAAAGGGGCGGAAACGGAAGATTACAAAAAAATGTCAATACCATTGACAAATGTTTTTACCCCACATTGAAGAGAAAAATGTTCAAGAGTTTGTTTCCGTTATCTATATAAATATAACGTTGTAATATCTGTTAGTCTGTTTATTCCTAGGCCCGATCATAGCTCATGAACCACGGGACCGATTTACCTCAAGTTTTGATTGGGTAACTTAGTAGAACCATGATAATGTTCTTAGCTTTGTTGAAAGATTTTTAGTCAACGCTGGGCACCTCAGCTAGTATGTAAAAAAAAAATATGCTTTTATAGAAATATATGGTTTTCTTTTTATTTACATATAGTTGGAAGGTAATTGGGAAAAGGTATATTCATATCTTAGTAATATTTTGGGATTAGGGAGGAAGGTTTCGTTTTGGATACTTCTGTACTTCCATCAGTGGAATATTTAGTGTTGGAGCATTTTTTCTTGAGGGGTAGGATTAAGAATTATGAAAGACCCTGTCTTATTATATCCATGGTGGAGGGGGGGGGGGTATTGGGAGAAGATTAGGGCGGGTCTTATTA